TACAAACTTGAAGAAAACAGAATCATATAAGTACATCAGGTTTCATAGAGCTAAAATATTTCAAGTGCTACTCAACTGGCTTTAGATAAGCCAGTCCTTTATTAGTATATAAGTGCTTTGTTAATAGTTCTATCGCTCGAAGTGGAGTCGAAAGAGATGAGTTTTCAGTCTGAGCCGGAAGATGTGTAAGCTTTCTGCTGTCCTGATTTCAATGGGGAGCTCATTCCACCATTTTGGAGCCAGGATAGCAAACCCACGTGTTTTTGCTGATGGGAACTTGGGTCCCCCTCGCAGTGCGGGTGCAGCGAGCTGTTTGGCTGATGCAGAGCGGAGTGCACATGCTGGGGTGTACGGTTTAACCATGTCCTGGATGTAGGAAGGGCCAGATACATTCGCAGCATGGTACGCAAGTACCAGTGTCTTGAAGTGGATTCTAGCAGTTACTGGAAGCCAGTGAAGGGAGCGGAGGAGCGGTGTGGTGTGGGAGAATTTAGGAAGGTTGAAGTCCAGACGAGCCGCTGCATTCTGGATGAGCTGCAGAGGTCGGACGGCACATGCAGGTAGACCAGCCAGGAGGGAGTTACAGTAGTCTAGGCGTGAGATGACGAGAGCCTGGGCCAGAACCTGCGTCGCTTTCTGGGTCAGCTGGGGACGTATCCTTCTGATGTTGTTAAGAGTGTATCTACAGCAGCGGGTTGTTGCAGCAATGTTTGCAGTGAAGGACAGTTTGTTATCTAGGGTCACACCCAGATTCCTTGCAACAACAATTAAAGTGCAGTATTAAAAATGGGGGAGGCTCAAAAGGTACCATGTGAAATAAATAACATAATGTGAATCATTTCCATGTGTTGTGAAACTGTGAATGGATCATAGCATGAACCTACAAATTGAGACTTTCCCAGACTTTCTCTGTAAAAAAGAAGCGAGCCCTTTTTGCTGGAAAAATCCAAATGATGTAACGGTTGGGCAAGCTGCCTATGTCTTGCATCTACACAGATCCTATAGCGCCAACAGTGTGTAGCTAACGTAGAAAGCACCGTTTTGAGTGGATAACTTTGGCTATTTTCCAGAATCCCTGGGCTGATCTGGCTCATAAACTAGCTAGCTTCCCGTTTGTAAATTAGTTAATAAACTCATGTTACAAGCAATCAATGCATGATCAATGAAGCATAGTTAAGTTGAGCAGTGTTTCCTTCACTTAGATTTAAGACTATTTTTTGCAACCCTTTTTTTAGCATTTGGCTGATGCCCAAGATGCTAACTTTTCTTGTGCCTATGGAATGTTTGAACCAAATAAGAAACCCGATGTTTCGCGCAGCTCAAATCAGAAATAGTCTATAACTAAACATAAACGCATTAAAGCATCCGGAATGTTATAACATGGCATATATATATATTCTCTCATAAGTAGACGCAGTCTGATGTATAGCTATAATTAGAAAATTGCACAGCGAACAAACATTTTTAGAAAATGCTTTTTCAAATGGCAGTGGATGTTAGCTTAACATCTGGACCGTTTCACCAATTTAAAGGCTCTGTGTTTCCAGATCTTGCAAAATGGTGTTGATGACAAAACCTAAAGGCACAAATTGGTCTTCAAATTTGTATTATTTTGATTATTTGGCCACTTAAAAATGCCATTTATGTGTAAGCATGGGTGGAAGGGATGTTGCTTGTGAAAAATTGATTCAATTAAGACGTTGATGACCTCTGGGGCAAAATAATTGGTCATCATTCCAATACTACTGTACACTGAGAACTCTGGTGTGTTGTTGAACACACTACACAAAAAGGGGCATAGTGTTCAGAGTGTACAACATGGCATTTTCCAAACAAATGTGTTCTGAATTAAAGCTCACCTATTATGCTATATTTGAACAATATATTATAGGGCCATATCTATACAAAACATGTCTCTGAGGTGCTTTGCTCAAAATATCAAACAGATCACCCATTGTAGCATGCCTCATACCTATAACCTGTTACGAAAGTGCTGATTCTGGGTCGGTAGCTTCAAATATAACCCGAGCTGCTGCTGCCCACGCACCTTTTATATCCGGCTTAAATTACACATATTCTCTCTAGTACCGCGTTAGCTCTGAGTGTTAGCGATGCTTGCTAATGTAAATACAGACCATATTACTTGCAAAACACATTGCGCATCGTTTCTGGTACAACAATGTTTCTGATAGGGGACGATAGGTTGGGCCGTGGGCTGTATGAGTGCGACACACCATCAGACCTGCCACTAGTTTCCTAAAGAGGCGGGGCACTTTATAAATATGCACAGATACGGGAAATGGACTCTCAGTGTGTCATCTCTTTCTATACTGTCTTAAGTGCCATTAAGGACACCCGTGTAATTCATAATAACAGTAATCAAAAACACCAGAAAGTTCATTTAAAAGAATACTTTCAAACAAGTTCGATTCATTTTACTTTGTTCGTGATACTCATTAGGGCACAGTATGTACTTACCCACTGGGACAAATGGATTCTCCTTTGCCTTTCGCATGAACTTGGATTCATTCTCTTCATAATCAGACATCTTGACTAAGTAGCAGAAGAAAAAAGGAAAATTATATACAAATTTGACTTAGAGGTTTTAGCATTCCAGCTAATTCAGTACAGGATCCAATCCATCCATTGTTAGATTCATATAAACTGCGCTGTAAAACTTTATTAGAGTCTGGGGTAAGCTTCATGATGTAGCCTACATATTAGTAACCCACGCTTGTTTTTGACTCAATGTTCATATAGATCTAATGTCCATTTAACATGAACTACTAAAGGTTAAACATGAAGGGCAGAGAGTCAATAAACGACCTTTCTTGCTATTAGTATTATTATTCCCTGCATATTGTAAGATAGGCTATGTATAAACGATTATGTTATGCTAAGTAATACTGTTTTAAATGTGGAGCAATGTCAACATAAAATAAACACCGGAGGAATACACTAAATCAATCCAGATAGAGGACTTACACAATGGAGGACTTACGTTACTGTTTTAACAACAGAGAAAACATCCATTAGCCTACGCCACAGTTGGCAAAACAATGTCTTACCTGTTAACGGGATGTGTCGTCAAATGTTTCGCCTGAAAACAAATTGTCCCTAAAAATGTTTGGCAGTCTTCAGAGCTTCAGATCGCACGTAGTGTGGAGGAAGAGGCGAGCCGGCAACGTGATGTAACTACCGTACTGCGTAGGTCTGACGTCAGCGATGACACGCGTGTGTAACGTTCATATCACAAGACAAAATGGTAAAACAGAGAAAATCCCTTAAATTAAGTTCCGTATAAAATGTGTGTAGGTCCAGGCATTATTTAAGTCAAAGTTAAACTTAATACAATAATATATCCCCTCTGGCTGCATAGCATATGTTCGCTATTAGTATTATCATACGCATCTGATTATGCTCAGGCTACAGAGACTGATGGTGGTAGTGAATCTGATGTGTACCGAATGCAGCATCACTTGTACAACACACTCAGAAAATCAAAGATAGTGAAACAAATGTTGGGTACTACTTCCTGTCCGATCGGGGTGTAGTTTGTATCGCAGCTGTACTTCTAGCTGGAAATATTATACGTTAACACTTTTTCAATGTTAAATATCACACCCACACACTCTCTGGCCTATCACGTTTGTTTGCGCCTCTATAAAATCCCTTCTTACGTTCGTCCCTGCCTTACTGTTGTTTAAACGAAGGTGGAGGTAGATGGGGTTGAATACTCTTGTTTTAGTGTGGATCTTTGGGATGATGTAACAGAATGTTCAAATCGTTCTAGTATTAATGGCTGTACCGTGCACGTTTCTGAAACGTGCTGGTTCCTGGATGCGATTTAGATAGAGATGACATTAGGCTACTAATAATAAGAATATTTATGTTCGACATTTTTTGTTTTATGAGACACTTCACAATTACTTTAAAGGTCACCTATTATGTAAAAAAAAAATGTTCCTGTCTTTTATACATAACAAAATATTTGCTCACTTTTTGTACTGATCCATTTATATAAAAACCTGACTGAAAAATGAGCTGATCAGATTTTGGCCACTTTATACAGTAATGTCATAGCGATTTGTTGGCTTATGTAACCATTAGCCAATAACCAACCAAGGTCACACAACCTTGTCACCTGAATTTCCTCCTAGAGCAGTGTTTCTCAAACTTCTTCATAGCCTACCAAGGACCACTTAACCAATAAAAAAACACTCGCGGACCACCTAACTCCACAAATATCCAAAAAACACATCGTTTTTTACAAATCGCCTGAAAATAGTACAAACAAGTGGCACTGATGAAGGTGTTTATCTGGGCTATGTCATGAAATCAAAAGTGAAACTTAAGCTCGCTCCATTGCGGAGATATTCCCGCGAGAGTGCGGAAAACTTTAATTAATTAATTAATACAAAATGTGAAATGTTACAAATATACTCACGGACCACTAGGGGGCGCTCACGGACCACCAGTGGTCCGCGGACCACACTTTGAGAAGCACTGTCCTAGAGCACCATTGTGTTTTTTAACCAAATATCTCGCAGAGGGGAGTGGCTCCTTATTTTCATCCAAGTAAAAGACAGAATCAGCACTTTTGATACAGGGCTGAAACTGAGGGGTTTAAGGGTGCTACAATGAACGATCTGTTTGGTATTTCGAGGCCAAACACTTCAGAGACATGTTAGGTATATATCTGAGACCTATAATAAAGTAATGAAAAACAGTATAGGGGACCTTTAACTGATAGGCTACAAATCGAGAATCCTCAGATTTTTTTCTTGAAATTATCAAATGTTGCCGGCCAAGTTATATACTAGGAACTATTTATTGAAAAAACGGTATTTCCTTTTTTATAGAGATGCAGAATAAATATTTAGTATCTTCCCGGAAGAAACTTGAAACGTTTCTGCAGAGCGTCTGCTGTGTGTCCTTTCTTGAAAAGGACATTCAGAACAGCTTTGAAGCCCTAATGAGCCTGGAGTATTTCCTTTATACAATTATGGACTATCGGGTCCCACTGATCATGAACAAAGCCTTGATGTGTACTGTAGATTAAAGTAGACAGATAAAGTAGGAGTGCTGCAAACAACCAATATCTTCCAGACAACCTTCTGAGCACCCTGTTGTTTAGTGAAATGTAGTGCCATATCTCAGTGTAGCCTACTTCTAACTGATCCAACACATATGTCTTAGCTGGTCTGGGGAAGTAATAATGAAAATTACCAATTAATATGTTTACGCTAGCTTTTCACTTTGCCTTGTACCCAGACAAGGAAATAGAACTCAAATTCAAAGAACTGTCTAAAGCAAGCTGCATCAGTCAATAGGAACAAGCCTGAATGTATCTTTTACTGTTAATGTTGTTCATGAAGCCTTAACCAAGTTAGATCCTAAGAAACCGGCTGGCCCGGACAACGTAGAACCTTTCTTTTTAAAGATACAGTAGCTGCAGATTTTATTGCTCTTCATCTCACTAATCTTTTTAACCTCGCCCTCAACACAAATGCAATTCCAAAAGTATGGAAGTCAGCTTATGTCTTGCCTTTAGGGCGACTGTGGCTGTGAGGGAGTGCGGTCGTCTTTCAACCAGAAGGTTGTGGGTTCAATCCCAGCCCATGCAGTCAACATGTCAATGTATCCTTGGGCAAGCTACTTAACCCTGAGTTGCTCCCGATGGCATGGCCAACAGTGTGTGAATGTGTGTGAATGTTAGGTCCTAGAGTAAGGTACACTGCTCTGTATGAATGGGTGAATGACATGTAGTATGTAAAGTGCTTTGAGGGGTCTTAAAGACTGGATAAAGTGCTATATAAGTACAGTCCATTTACTAAAAGGAGGGGAGGCAACTATTTTAAATAACTATAGACCAATCTCTAAATTGTCAGTTCTGGCGAAGGTGATCGAACGCCTAGTGAGTGAACGAGTAAAGGAGTTTTTATGTAAAAATAATATCCTGTCTAAAAATCAGTCAGGCTTCAGAAAGCAACATAGCACCATCACTGCGACAATGAAGGTGGTGAATGACATTACGAGTATTTTAGATAATAAGCAGAGTTGTGCAGCTCTATTTATTGACCTTTCCAAAGCGTTTGATACCGTCGATAATCGCATCTTAAAGCAGAGGCTACTCAGTATAGGCATATCCAGCCATGCAGTGGGGTGGTTTGTGAACTACCTCTCTGAAAGGTCCCAATGTGTTCACTTTGATGGGCTGTCTTCTGAGTGGTTGAACATTGCTAATGGTGTTCGTCAAGGTTCTGTTTTAGGTCCACTTTTATTCTCCATCTACATCAACAGTTTAGGTGAAAATGTGAATGAAGCTACTTTACATTTTTATGCGGACGATACCGTGATGTACTGAGCAGGTCCCTCCATTAAGGAGGCTGGTGTTAAATTACTAATTTAACACCAGCCTCCTTAATGGAGGGACCTGCTCAGTACATCACGGTATCGTCCGCATAAAAATGTAAAGTAGCTTCATTCACATTTTCACCTAANACTAACAGATAGGTTTCTGCTGCAGGAGCTTTTGGCTAATGCTTTGTAGTCTAGTAACAGTACTTCAAAAGTTACTAAGAAATGGTCGGATAAGGCAGGATTATGCGGTTCGACTAATTGTTGCTCAATTTCAATACCATAAGTCAGAACAAGGTCGAGAGTTTGATTATAGCAGTGGGTTGGTTTATTTACACTCTGACAGAAACCAACAGAATCTAATATAGAGTTAAATGCAACAGTAAGGCTATTTTTATCATCGTCAACATGAATATTAAAGTCACCTACGATAATTACTTTAACTGTTTTAAGTACCAAAGCTGATAAAAACTCAGAGAATTCTGATAAGAATTCTGAATAAGGACCTGGTGCACGGTACACTGTAACAAATAAGATTGGCTGCAAAGTTTTCCAGGTCGGATGCGTAAGACTGAAAATGAGGCTTTCAAAGGAGGTATAATTAAATTTTTGTTTAGTATTGATAAGTAAACTTGAGTCAAAGATGGCTGCAACTCCACCTCCTCGGCCCGTGCCTCGGGCAATATGAGTATTGATATGGCTGGGGGAGTGGCCTCATTTATGCTGACATATTCTTCATGTCTCAACCAAGTTTCAGTGAGACAGCATATATCAATATTATAATCTGATATTAAATCATTTACCAATATTGCTTTAGATGCTAGAGATCTTATGTTTAAGAGACCACATTTAATCTTCCTGTTTTGTTGCACTGTAGTAGTTGTTACATTGACTTTTAGTAGGTTATTATGTATGACACCTCTATTAGGTTTTACCTTAAATTGTCCTTGGGCAGACACACACACCGTTAATATTGGGTATTTAATTGGGTTCGGGATTCCTATGGATGACTGCCTAGGAGAGAGCGCAGAGAAGCGTGTAAGACTGCGACTCTGCCTCCTGGTCTCAACTCCAGTTTGTCATGGATTAAGTCCACAAAGCCCTGAAATGTTTGCCGAAATGAGATTTGCACCTTCCAAAGTAGGATGAATGCCGTCTCTCTTAATCAGACCCGGTTTTCCCCCAGAAGGCTGTCCAATTATTTACGAAGCCCACATTGTTAACTCTCTTCAGCTGATGGGCGACAGCAGAGTGTTCCTTCCTATTGTAATGCAGGGTTGAGGCGCGTGAGACCTGTGTAACAGGTTGAGTTGAGCAGATCTGAGATTTAAAATCTCTCAGAAATCGCAGTTTTAGCTACAATAACTACAGAACAATTATACAGAGTAGAATAAATGAAACAGAGAAGTCTATTTAAACAAGAATATAACTTACAGTCATTGCTGAGTCAGTAGGTAGTGTCCTCACCGGGTCAAGATGCACACTGAGTTATTCAGATTTTAAATGCACTATTTGAATGATTTTTAGCTGAGGGTTTACTAACTCACGCTGTTTGCACTTCGCGCAATCAGCAGAGTGTTCCTGCCTATTGTAATGCAGGGTTGAGGCGCGTGACCCACTGAGACCTGTGTAACAGGTTGGGTTGAGCAGATCTGAGATTTAAAATCTAACTCATTTAAAAATGAGTTATATGCAATGAACCTCTCTAATGTAGGTTAGGTTTCTTTGTCATGTTTCTGAGTACCACATCTGGTGCTACTTATCCAAAAAATGTATGGGTCCAAGAATGTTTTTCTTTTTTCTACAGCCGATTTTTTCACATTTACAGTACAACCTAAGCCTTGATTTGATTTTTTGATTCTGGAAAATAGGTGCTTTTCCATTTTTATAGAATTTTCCCACATTACTACATTGTGTAGGTTTTAAACATTTTATCGCCCTCCTGCACCAATGCTTTACTTTATTTTACCGGTAAGTATAGTTTACTGCTACACATATTTCCAAACTCTTCTTGGAATAGATACTTAAGACAACTTTTCTTTGGTCAGCAACAGATAACTTAAACATGTCTTATCTGGAGCATGACATAATCACATAAGATATAATACATAAATAATTCATTTACAATTTGACAAAGATTTTTGTTTAGATTTTGATTGGATCTGTTTCTGAGCTTTAACAAACTTACAAACACTCAATTGCTGTGATGAAGCAAAAAGGCACATCAGAGGTTTCACATACGTTTATTTCTTCATGAATAAAATACCAGAACAGTCTTTAAAAGTTTGAGGCACTTTGAAGTGTGACTACAGTGAAGGCAGGATTAAATATTACTCATAAACCAATTTTAGAAACAAATATCATCTGTGACAGAAAAACTGAAATGGTCATTTTAAAGACCAAGCATGCCAAAACATTAGATAAAATGTAGAGCTAATTTCCTAGCTAAGGGTGGGATTTCCCAGTTTCAAAGCATGCATCTGCTTCAAATTGCAGAAAATCAATATTTCGTTTAACAAATAATTAGATTTTCTATTAACTTACCTTTTCCCCATTTAAACGGCAAGGCTTTGAAAAATACAGAATATATAAAGGCTTTGCACGCAATTGACTGAAAATCATCACAACTTAACAGATGTCTACCAAAAGAGCATACAGTGACAGAGCCCGGTTTCATTATCTTTATCAAAACATTTCACATTATCTGCTTCCAGCAATGCTCATCCATACTACATCCAAAAATATTTCTCTAAATATTAAACATGCATCTTTCCAAAGTAATCATCATTCTTCGGAAATGAGTCATTGTACATTTGTACAGTGCTTTTCACTGCATTTTTCAATTAAGTTAGAGGGTACAATCACACACTTACAAAGTTAGAGTTCTCTTGAAGAATCCAGTTCAGCGGCAGTCAAGGGTAGACCAGATAAATAGCCCCAAGCAGTCAGTTTATACTTTTAAATGTTAGCTGGAATTAAATACATTTAGCTGAGTACGCACATGTTATCTCCAAAAGCTATGGCAAGCACAAAATGACAGGCTACAGTAAAAAGGAAGTTTTGTGATAATGGATTTTATAGTTTCTATATGTACTTCTGAATTTAAAATGTGTGTATTATACTCTGTTCTCCCGTAGGGATCGTCTAAGTCGCATCTCTCTCGCACAAAGACACACACACACACACACACACACACACACACACACACACACACACACACACACACACACACACACACACACACACACACACACACACACATCCTGCAGCGGTGTCACAGTGAAGTCCTTGAGTCCGAAAAGTTTTAACTGTTAATTTATTAAATTAAACGTGTGGCTATATCCAGACAGAGGTCTTTCCATTTTTAACAATAGTTGCAGCCTTCTCTGTGGCTAACTTTGGCCTTGCTCCTTGTTTCTCCTGGACTGTATTGACTCGATTTTGCTCTGCCATAGTGCCCCCAGATATAGGACTACTGGTCCTGGAGGTCTGCTGGATGGTTTTAGTTTGATATGTTTGAAAGGCCATGTCAAGCTGCTCCTGGGCAACACGTAGGTGCCGGTGTAGGCTTGCTAAATCAGAAGGAATGTTCTCATCTGGGCTGGTGCACTGCTGCTCCTGGGCCACATTGGCCATGTTCTGCTCGTGGGTGACGAGGCTGTTGGGGATCCTGGTAGGTTTGTCTGTCTTCATCACAAGGTTATACCCCGGAGGGGAGGCTGGGATGTTTCGAGAAAACGGGTAGCCATAGGACATCCGTCGGTCCCGGTTCCTCTTAATGCGAAGGGTGTCCCGAAAAGTGCCGATTCCTAAGTGAAGCATCTCACACACATTTAGCACTAGACAAAGACAGCTTACCACATACATGATGAGAAGGAAGATAGTTTTCTCTGTGGGCCTGGAGATAAAACAGTCCACTCTGTGTGGACAGGGGACCCTGTTGCATACATATGAAGGACTAACTCGAAAACCATAAAGGAGATACTGTCCTGCAAGAAAAGCAATTTCAAAAATAGCTCGCGACATGAGCTGAAGAACGTAGATTCTCATCAGGCCTTCTTGCATAATTCTTCGGCGGCCATCATGTTTTTGTGGCTGCGCTGGTTCAGTCTTGGCCTCCTGCACCTCCAGTGAATCCTCAAAGATCATGGGCTCAGCATCGTCGTCTTCATCCCCCTCTAAGACATCGTCCAGATGGTGGCTTTCTCTCCATCTGGAGTGAGGAGTACGCTTTTTTCTGAGCCTGTGAAGCTTCTTGCGATCCGCTTCTGAAATCCGGGCTATCTTGTGGATAGCGTAACCCACGTACATGATAGAAGGAGTGGAGATCATGATGATCTGGAAGACCCAGAAGCGGACATGCGAGAGAGGGGCAAAGGCATCATAGCAGACATTGTCACAACCTGGCTGCTTGGTGTTGCAGGTAAACTTTGTCTGCTCATCCGAGTAGATGGACTCTCCTCCGACCGCTGTGAGCACAATGCGGAATATGATGAGCACAGTCAGCCACACTTTCCCCACAAAGGTGGAGTGGTGGTGGATCTCTTCCAGGAGACGAGTGAGAAAGCTCCAGCTCATGTTGCTCTCACAAGCTTTTCAACTAGAATCTGTAAAGTGAGAATGAAGAATTAATTAGGATCCGTGTAGATTGAAGAATTTACATTCAGTAGGTTATGAGTTAAAGATGGATTCAATGTTTTAAGGAATTGTCATTTTGAAATAGGAATGACAGAGATTGTCACCTTGTAGTATTATTATATTCTTCTCACATTTGTATTCTGTATATCAATTGCGTCTGCTGTTTCTGTCTAACTAAAGCAATTTCGAACTAGCGCTGAAATGAACCATTATTTTCATTATCTACAGTATGTATCTGTACATTCTTATCTTGTCTATAAAATGTCCTAAATCCAAAATGCAACTGCTACTTTCATACTTTAAATGTCTTTTTTTCTCCCACAACTCCAAAACTCAAAATCTTAAAGTTTACTATCACACATTACTAATAAAACCTGAAAATATTCACATTTGAGATACGTTTCTGCTTTTTGTCAAACATTAACTGTATTAAATTGCACAATAAGACTTGATGTAGAAGAGACATTTATTTTCAATTGTTTGCACAGCCAAACACAAGACAATAGCTTGTGTTGATTCATGTCGGGAAGCAGGGTGATGTCATTCAGTCACCCTATCTAACACATGCAGTATTTTTATAAAATCATCATCTTAAATAGATAAATAAACAATTAAAGAAAAAAATATGAAATGGGTTTTAAATGAGCAAAAGAATAGCAGGGGAAAGAGTAAAAAAAGAAAGAGAAAAACATTTTGTCCGCCGTGCACACACCAAACAGCAACAACAACCCTTTGGAGCTTGGACCGTTTTGAACACAGAATACTAAAAGAGGCTGAAAAACACATAATGGAAATGACATAGCTCTGAAAAGCGCATTCTGGTAGAAGAGCTCACCCTCAGAAACATACTGTATTCAACGTTTCAACACGATGACATGACATGAGACCTCACAGAGTCAACTCTCTGACTCTGTGAGGTGAATAAGGCTACGCTGAGCAGACAACATATCGCTTCTGTCCGCTCATTCATGGGGCAGAGCGAGCTGCAGAGTTCAACTTGATCTCATGACTGCGGCACTGTTTTCCCTGGCTTGGGATGTGGCATCTCGCCTGCCATCTGAGTAAACAAGAGAGGTTTGTTGCTCTGCCACGAGGCCTTCCCTCAACATCAGGCACTGCTGATGCTGGGGAAGGGTACAGCCGCATGGAGGCAGATGGCACCTATGGTGTGCGACTCATGTCTGCCCCAGGATGGCATGACAAGAGCTACACTGAGGAGTTTTAAGTTCCAACTGATCTGTTGTGTGTCATAGCATCAACATCATACCCTATCATTGGGAATCTTGAGATATCTGCCTGCTGTTAATGTGTTTTGCAAAGTGTCAATTTTCACAGTCTGTCTTACATTTTCAGTTTTTAACAAAGTCTTTCCTGAGAAGGGATCTGTAATCTTAGTGGGACTTGTGAGTTTATTAAAAAAGGATAAGATTTTAGTGAAGAAAAAGCAGCATCATGTTTGGGTTACGATTTTTTGTTTAACGCGTCTCGGTTGAGACTGTAGAAAGCTGTAGAAATGTTTTATTTATATCCTTTATAGGGAAAAATATAGTTTTAGGATGGATATGTTTCACTAATGCAAGCTACAGTGGTAGTTGTATTTACAGAAAATACACATATTTAATGAACACCTTGACTTATGATATTTAAATTCACCAATAGGGAAACACTTATAAAAAACATTATGTAATAAGGTTGAATAAATTAGACTTAAGTCTTAATTGTAAGAACGGGTGTTTCATAATCAATGAAGATGCAGGCTTATTAAAAGGCAAATGATTGCGTTGTTTGTAACTGTAAATAGCTTTGTCCTTATCGCAGAATATAAATAAAGGACTGTTGCAGTGTCAATAAATTATCTTTCAGCAGAATACATTTTAGACACAGGGTCTTCCACACAGTCCACAATTTTACTGTCACAAAATGTGCATTTTCCATGATATGACTAAACAAAAACTATAATACCGTTTCATAAGGAGACAGTCAATAACTGAAACAACCCACCTGGAAAAGTTGCAAATGCATTTCCCATCCTCAAGGTCTCCTTTGCCCTCTCTAGATGTCCCCTGCACAGTCTGATCCCTGGGATACCGCTTCCATCCTCATGTCCTGACCTTTTCCGTTATTGATAACTTCCAGAATGTCAAAAACAAAACAAAAAGGGTGAACCTTTCAGACTAGACTTTCTAATTATTCCGTTTTCCCACTCTGTGAAGAAGTGAGGTCTCGCCGCTGTGAATGCCTCACATTCTGGCTTGTGTCTGGTTTCTATTACACCAGCCTTCTGCCCAAGAAGGAAGTATAAAAAACAGAGAGGCAGAAAAAAATCCTCCTCTGGCAAGTGACCCTTATCCAAGGGTTCAGACTTGAGGATATCGTACTGCAGATTGAAATGAACACCCAGCTGAGGGAGCGTGTTAACCGCAACACAGTCAACCTACCCCCCAATGCTCATGTGCAACATTTTTAATACAGATGATGAGGGTCTCTATCTCTCTCTCTCTATGGTTTCTCTACTCTGTCTCTCTCTGTCTCTCCCTTTCTCTCTTCATCTATCTATGTCTTAGCTTCTTGTAGGTTAATGTCTACAGGCTTTGCTTATACAGCAACAGCAGTATCTACTTGTGAGGTGAAGGGTGATGTAAATAGTCATGGCACACTTCTCACACATTTGTAAAAATGCAAAAGGTAATTTAAAGCTTCCGTCTGTCTCTCTAGAGCTTTCTCTCGTCTTAATCGTGAACACACAATAGAACGCATATCACCCACTGTAAATGTAGATGACCACAGTCTATATTATTTGTCAATTACATAACAGTTTAAAGTGTGTGTCAGTTATGGAAGAACAACTTTGGGGAGAAAAAGACACAGAGTTTGGGGACAGAAGTGTCACTGAGACATAAGCCACCTTGCCTCAGTGCAGATCCGTTAGAATGTAACCAGCAGGTACACTCAGTCATATCAAGTGTCATAATATTTAGATCTTCCGTCCAGGCAGATGGCCAGATAACAGAGCAGTGGACAGGTCACTCTTAGCACTCCTGCTACACGTCTTTTCCGACTTCATGTTTATACCTTCAAGGTATCTCTCTCTCTATCTCTCTCTGTCTCCCTTTTCTCTCTCACTCAGACACACACACGCACATACTTCTTTACATTTGAAAAATAACACGACAAAGTGCAGATGAGGAGGTGATTCATTCAAGATTAAAAACGGAAAGGAATTTCTCCATCTCTTTATTGTGTGTGCCAGACTTATCCGTCACATTTGGGAAGGGATCTAAAGTCAGCTACTCTTAATAGAGGACAGATAAACGTGTGTGTGTCTGGCTTGTGTTAATTAAATGTGTCTGGTCATTGTCACAGCGACCATATTATTATAATGTTACTTTCACAAGGCCCTCAATAACCCTAAATTATGACCTGTGTACAGCTATAAAGCCAAGAATAACGTTCAACAATACCTGAAGGCCACCATCAGGCAGATCAAACTTTCAACTCTATTTCTTAAATGATGATGAAAAATGGCTGTGCTTTAATATATGTTTTGGATATTAGACTGTCTTTAGGTAGATAGCAAAGAAATCTGCAGTGAGAAACAAGCACGTCAGAAGTCTTTAGATGCATTTAGATCCTGTTAGTGTTTGAGTAATTTGTGGTCGAAAGAAAGCTCTGAGAGCCAGCCATCTGAGCCTCCCGGACCCTTCCTCCTGAGGCCGGCCTTCAAGGCTCCCCTTTCCGTCTGACTGAGGAGATGTGGCATGGCGAGCACCCCTGGTGCAGCACTGAAGAAAAGAAGACAGGGAATGCTGCTGGAATGACTAGAGCATTTGGGGTTTGGACATGTGCTATCCCTAAGGGACAGATAAGCACGTGTTTTCAAGTTGCAGTGCATTTCTTTCCATCCAAAATCTTTCCGTCATCAAAACAGCACAGATGGTCCAGTGGAGATGGTTGTTGAGTGAACATTGGACTTAAAGTTGTTTCTCCAACATTTGGTAGAACTTGTGGGGGTTTAACATGTACACTCAGTGAGGTGCCACTATCCTCTACTCTAATTGATACAGATTATATTTACACATGTAAAACTACCAAGGTACTGCAATTTATCCTAGTATTTACATTTTTGTGTTAGAACATCGTTTACCATTTTTATTATTGGCAAATACAATAAGTAACTTTGCCAAAAAGGGAATAATCAAGCAAAAGATTGATCTTCCAACTATTATTTGGTCTTTGAAACTGCATTTAAACGCTTGAAATGCTCACAGTTACTTTAAGCAAAGGCAAAAGTGCACAAACAATGCAGTCAAACCAATGACTGTCTAGTTTTAAATGTGTTGTCACTGTGTCCTCTGACAATTCAGGCTGTTCTAGCTTTGGGAAACTCTAGGTCATGCTGATAAATATTGATTGGATTGCCCAAAGCAAGGAAAATATAACAGTATTACCCTGTAAGACATTGTTTGACATTGCTCTTGTCACAAGGACTGGCATCATGTGAGCCAAATATGAATGTTTAATATTCATTAGGGTTATGGTTATATTTAGCGTTAAATGTAATATAGAGCAGATGTTGTGTCAGTTGTGGTAGCATCTGGAAGACACACACAACTTTAAAATAATCTAACATGACAGCTGACAGTTAAAGAAAAACGTACTTTTAAGACAAAATTGAAGAAAACTAATCGGCAAAATATTGTAGTCCACTTGCTACAATCTTTAAGAATCAATGCCATTTTTAAAACTTACTTTTATCACAGACATATTTTAACACACAACATGTTTGTTTTTTTATTCCCAGACTGTTTCACCTTTAGGAGGTCACTGCGAGCTGTGAGGGTTTGCAGCGTAGCCGAGTGTTGAAGTGATGCAACATGGAGGAGTGAACATCTCGACATCTCTCCTTGGCCGCCACCAATGTCATCACAAGAGTTTTATCCACATGTATTTACTGAACAAAGTTGATGCGAGCAGACTGGGGGCTGTGGAGGTCTGTGTTTATGTAACAGATCAAGCTCCACCATGTGACTTCCATGTCCCCCCCCCTCAGAGAAAAGAGTGACACAAGACACCAGAGCAAAAAAATGCAACTTGGTGCTTGGACTCCTTCTCTCTCCCATCTCTCCTACTACTATCATTAAACTGCTCTTACCAGGCTGCAGGGGGCTATCCCATGGGCAGCCTGACAGTGGTGGCAGTCCCATCTCATTTGTTCATTTTTCTCCCAGTTTCTCAGCCAAGCCTAACCTACCCCCAGGGTTAGTGCGTCCCGTGCCAGTTTGACTAAGGCTGTACTCCACTGAAGCGACTGAGATGAAAAGCCTTGAGGTGGATGCCAACAACTTCTCTCAGCCAGGGCAATGCGTCTCCCACATGAACACAGCAACTTGTATTGAAAATTAGCCTCGCCACTACAGTAAAGCGAGGGAGTGTGTGTAAGGGGGTTAGCTGTCTTTTCCTACAAATATTTTACATATTATCTTCATCCCATACCCTGAATTTATGTAACAGGAGAAAATTAGGACATATAGCAATATTTTAATAGTCTTAATACAATTAAATGTCTATTATCTGTCTTAGAGAGAGTTTCCAGTTTACTGCCCTACAACAATCTATCTATTCTGGTAGTAAAGAAAACCTGTTTTACACATCAGTGACGTTGCTTAACATTTATTAGCTTGACCTGTAAACTTAACATCAAGTGCTCAAAATGAGTGTCTCATTAATGTTTATAACATACGTAGGAAAGATTACAAGGCTAACTTTTTTCTAATGGTCAGAGTGAGAGCTTTATTTTTTACAGAAATGTTTTAAACAGTCGAAAAGTGTGCAACTAAAAGACATGATTAATTGTTGGCTACATTGGGACCATGTTTGGTTATATTACTGGCAAAGTTATATGAAAATATAGTTCAGTGGAAAGCGAATATCTGATTTAGATAGCTAGAAGATAGTTATGATATGTATTTATGATGAGTCACAATAGTTTACAATTGAACACTACTAAACATACAGTACGATAATCAAGATGTGGTAATAAGTTTACAAGATGTAGATACTCTATTTATTGCTTGTTTTATTCTCCGTCATCATTTTTACACTCACTTGCAGATCAAGTTTTCCATCAGGGCAGAACAATTCCAACACACAACTACCCAAAAACAAAGCTGTGCTTGCAGTGCTGGAGGGCCTCAATCTTTGACATTATCTTGTCTAAACTGGCTATGTCATGGGCTGATCTGGGGCAAGCCCAAAGGAGCAGCAGACCTGGTTAGGGTCATTTGGACTGCCAGAGATAAGTCTACTGCAACTCCTTCATTCAAGACGTCTTAGTGCCGTTAACCTTCTCCAACTCAGTGTATTCCTGTGGCAACACTGCAGGATTACGCTGATAACAGCAATATACCATTATGGGATACAGTTATTAAGCCGATGATAAGACAAGACAATCTGCAGAGCAAAAGGCACGGGCTATATATTTAAAATTCTGCAAAATATTAACTTTCAAGGTCAATGTTTATGATTTGTGCAAGGATGGTTTTGCGTTTACTAAAAAGAAAAATAACACCTTGAATAAATATAAATTCTGGATTTTATGTTTGCTTTGAAATCTTGATTTTGTACGTAGATTTTACAAATGTTCTCTACTTTAGTTAGTGGGCATTTATATCCACCAGATGGCATTCATGTATTTAATTGATAACAGACTCCTGGAAAACATTTCAACATGTTTGGCTCATCCTGACTCCCTGATAACCAAACATATGTGAAGACTGTTTTTTGACCCAGGCATGAGGATAACAACCTTGTCATTCGGAGAAATTACTAAGTTGACAATAGGTGGAAGCAAATCCACGTCAGGTTGTCATAACTACTAAAAACACCTCTGAATCACTCACTTTCTGAGGGGGTATCGTAGCATTTACAGGCATTCAATAAATACCACTAAGATAGTAGAAGAGTGTCAAACACTTTATATAGGAACAGGAAGGGTTGTACAGTGGCCCATTGTTTTAGGCTTTTGTGAATGGTTTCCTGTTTGTGGCTCTCAACTCTGTATCATAGAAATAGATTATTTGTCTTTCTGTTGGTTAAGATCTTTCACAATATGTTTTTGTTTAGTTTGCTTTTTAGGTATAAGCGGTACCATTACAATTTATCGGACAAAAATAAATAAATTATGTTAGTGTTTAATGGTTTTCAATAACCATGTATCAATATGAGATTTATTTGCTCATATCATTTGTCAATGTCTACTTTTGTAATTAAATAACAGACCAGAGTCAGGTAGAAGTCAAAGGATAAAATACAAAACACCAACACCACGTGAGACATTAACACTGTGTGATACTGTATAATTTGAATGCAATGGCATTCAAAATAAACCCCTCGGTATGGTGTTAATCCCCACTTCGAGTCTCTTTTACCTCCCTCTATTAAAATTGTGAATTCAAATGCTTAGATCATGTTTTGGCAAGTGTAACAAGCAAAACCTCCTTTTTTCTACAATCTGAAGTTGCATATTTCTTCATTGAACTAAAATACTATGTAATGTAAAGTGAAATCCTTTGTCTAGGCCTATATAGCCAAAGACAACATACAAGAGAAGCAATACACAGCACAGAGTAAAAGAAAAACAATAGAGCAGTACATACCTTTCCATGCAGATAAAGCAGGATCTGATTCTATAGTTTCTGTAGGCTCGTCCTGGGCTGGCATCCAGAGGCATCGTATCACTGCTCGAGCTCAGAGTCAGGATGAGAGACAATGGGTCATTTTTCTTCAAAACCCCTCTCCACCAAGTACAGGCAGAACACTCAGGAGGCCAGCTTCCTGCCAAAGGCCCTATTGTTATCCGGCCCACCCGCCTCCATTTCCATAACCACTGACTGTTTATTTATTTAACTCAAGGGTGACACCTACCCCATTCATATTCCTAGATATTAGCAGAGAGGTAGCTATGGACCCCCGAAACCTTGCTTTCCTATATACATTTTTGTGTGGGTGTGCATGCAAAATAACTACCAAGATTATCACCAGCGATGTTCATTGTTTCCAGGAGGGGTTGGCTGGGGGGTGGGCGGTTAGTTAACATCAACACGATGCATGTGCTGAAGATGGGTTTTTAAATGTTATTTTTCAAGGCTCTGAAGCATTGCGCAATCGTTTTCCTCAGAGGGCTGTTTTTTTTGTCAGGCGATAGAAATATTGTTATTGTAAGTATTTTTCCACATGTGCTATGGCATGCCAAAAAACATGTTGATCAGGAATGATGTCATATAATTTCTTTCATCATATTTGACTCCTTGTCCTCTTTACGATTGTGTGCAAGGCAATAGCTTATTTTGTTTAATCTTGCTTTCATGCTGCACTGGTTACATAAAGATCTGAACAGTGGGTGACCAGCGGCAGCACTGTTATTTTTTAATCCAGTGGACTTTCCATTCCCCAGTTTAACAAAAGGTTTGGCTGGACAGACATGGTGTGGGGTAATTATTGTCAAAGATCAATGCCTTACAAAATGGCTTGGGAGGAAAACGTTTTTCAAATTGATGACACATTTACAAAACTTTAGGAGATGCCCATTATAACTGTCCTTTTCAGTATGATGAAATGACAAACATCAGATGCAGCTAAATAAAAGTCCAAATAGAAACCTGGCAGTGTACTGATTAATGTAATCTCTGCAAACTCAAGGCATTGTTTATTTTAAAGTTAAACATTACCAACAGAATGAAGTATCTGCTCTGGTGAAATCCAGCCTGATTAGGTATGTAAAGTTAAAACATTGTTCATGTTGTTTTAAAAAGTTAACTAAAAAGTTCAAGGTTGGAGCTTTTGCTCATAAATAACCAACTTTAGGATACTGGATTTCAGATAGAAAGATTTGAAATCACGTTTGGAACTCTTTAGAAGTGCTGAGATACTGAATTTAAACCTCAACCTTTAAACATATAATAAAGATAAGCAAGGCATACCAATATATCTTATCAGCATGAAACCTATATAGCTGCTGATCATCATGTCAGTAAACTAGGAATGGTGTGTAAGACAAGTTAGATGAGAAATCTGCCTGTAGGTAAAGAATGAAATACAACCAAAGTGATGATGGAGGCGTGTGGCACAGTGGATAGAGCATTGGTGTTCGAATCAAGGGAGCACAGGTTCAAACCCCACTGCAGTCAGCATATCGTTGTCTTCCTGGGAAAGACACTTCACCTCAAATTGCTCCTGTGGGGATTGGCCACAGTGTTGAGTATGTAAGTCGCTTTGGATAAAAGTGTCTAACTAGTAGGCCTAATGATAATTAATGTGTTGAAATGTTTTAAGCATTGTGGTAGGTTCTGACGGACAGTATCCTTATGTAATGTAGTCTGATCAAAGTGGTCGAAATTATTGGATTTTCATTGAAACAATCAAATCAGCCCAGATACATCTGTGAAAATCCCTAAAGAATCCAAACAAAGTGGTGCTGCATGTGTCCAAAATGTTGAAGGATAGCTAGTTAGCTCACAAGTAGCTCACTTAAGAGCTAAAGTTGTTACAAGGAATCTATGCCTTGGCTTGCAGTGTTGATGTTACAATTAAGTTAACTATTTTGTCAGAGGAGACATGACCAGATAACAGTTTATTATGTAAGTAATATGATGGCTGGCTAATGCTACATAACGTTGGCTGATGCTAAAAAAATAGCTATAGGCCTATGTTTGGTTGCCAGTTGATATATGTATCTTTGACCTCACTGCAATTTTGATTCTTTCATCTACTTTGACTGAAAATAAAACAAATATATCATAAAGTATGCAAAACTGGCTCATTCAGCTGACAAACACAAATATCAACTCTTAAGCCAACATATTGCTAAGCTAATGTTAGCATCAACCAACCTTAACTAATGCTGTCAGGTAATATTATAAGTTTGGCAATTATTATAGTTTTACAAAAGATGGTATTTCCGGCAGGCTTATCCAAAAGTTCTCTGTTCCTGAGCCCTTGTGTGATCAGTTCCTTGAAATGATAAAGAGACATGTGGAAAGCATTAGTACCAGATGTGTGCATGTTTGTTTCTGTGTGGGCCTTCCACATCAAAGCAGCTGTTTAACAAAGTTGGAATGCAGGGTGATATTCATCTTTCTCCAGAATGTCAGTTTTGGGCCCTTTTTAAATGTAATTTAGTTGTGAAAACAACTTTCGCATGTAATGCTCTCGTCCCGTAGAAAAACAAAACTGCAAACCTCTTCTTATGGTTCAAAAGCAATATGTAAGTGAATGTAAATGTGAAATTCAAAATGTGGCCAAAGCAATTCGTCTTCCTCCAAACATTTAATTATTCCGGTTATACATGCCATGTTTTCTCATATCCTATAAATAAAAAAGGAAACCTAATACTACTACTCCTACTACTCCTCCTCCTAATACAACAACTACTACTACTGTACTACCACTACTACTACTACTACTAGCAGCAAGGGCTCTCAACTTCAGACCCCAAACTTCTCCTTCCTCCTTTCATATCTTCACTAGCACACCTGAGTTCCATAAGGATAAAGAAGGATAAAGATTTCTAACATAGGCATTGTACCTATTTGCTAACTACCCAGAGATTTGGTCCTTTGGCTTGGCTTGCATGCATTGATTTAATGTTGCCTTGAAAGAGGAGCTCATTTAGAACACTGTGGTAGGGTCATGTAAATAAAAGGGAGGATTGGGCAATGGAGAGGCTATCTGGACCCTTTCTCTTTGTCGTAAACAAGAACGATACAAAATAACAATTATAAATAAAATACTCTATTAGTGATGATATTTTAATTAGGTAACACTTTATTTGGTAACACTTTATTTTGATAGTCCATAGTTAACACTCTATAAGTCATCAGTTGACATTTAGTAGCATGTCAACAGTGCATCAGTTGACATTCAACAGCACCGTTCAAACCGACAAGTAACTAAGCATTAGTTGATGATCAACAGATAAGCAACTAAAGTTCAGTTGACTATTACATTAAGCATTAGTTGATGATCAACAAATAAGCAACTAAAGTTTAGTTGAATATTACATTAAGCATTAGTTGATGATCAACAGATAAGCAACTAAAGTTTAGTTGACTATTACATTAAGCATTACTTGATGATCAACAGATAAGCAACTTTAGAGTTTAGTTGAATATTACATTAAGCATTAGTTTATGATCAACAGATAAGCAACTTTAGAGATTTTAAGCAAGATTTAGATTTAGATTTAGTTGCTTATCTGTTGATCATCAACTAATGCTTAGTTACTTGTCGGTTTGAACGGTGCTGTTGAATGTCAACTGATGCACTGTTGACATGCTACTAAATGTCAACTGATGACTTATAGAGTGTTAACTATGGACTATCAAAATAAAGTGTTACCCTGTGGGTTCATCAAATAAACGATCTTTGTAAAACATTTAGTGTTCATTTTGAAGTTTATTATTATTATTATTATTATAGTAAATACAATGTTATTATTTGTTCATTGTAAAAGTTATGTTGTCACTTTTTCCCAAATCGTAGTGGAACAAGTATTTTAATCATTGTTTTGTATTACAACAGCAAGATATAATATATTGGATTGCAGCACAGCAATTACATAAATATATCTATTCCCATTCTTATTACTGAATGGCTTACAATTATATTCTATGCAGTTTGGAACATTGTATTATTTCTGTGGTTCAACAATCAACACAATAATCCACATTCTCCACCACCAACTTGGAAACATAGTATAATTGTATTAAGAATATTGGTAAACTCCTTCAGTTTTCAATTAGGAAGATAAATGTAAGATATGAAACCTAAATTGCATAAAAGAAATAGGCATATCATTACATTTCCAGGTGACACATATGAACTCTAAAAATAGTTCAAACTGGTCAAAATTCAGATTTTGTAAATACATGTGTTTTTGTGTATCAATATATTTCTACGCCAGTCACATTGATCATCAATGTGACCTTTTGTTATTTGGGTGAATTACATGCGTCATTTGAGGTCGGAACTTTCCAGAATAAAACCCAACCTTGACCTTCTATTGCAACAAACAGAATGACGTTCCAATCAAGTTCATGACCTACATATACAACAGCAGCTAGATAACACCGGCACTTTCTTCTTTTTTTTACTCACCCCTGTACAGACATCTAATACAATTCAAAATTGGTACAGTATGAAAACACAAATAGCCCTTAATACTAGAATCACAATTTTCCTAAGTAATTTTCAAAGTACTTACACTGATGTCTAAAATCAGGTAACATTTAATCAGAAAGATGTTAACCATTGCTTCGTTTAATATCTGAGTCTGTATCGAAACTGAACATCTCTGTCGGGTTGCATTGATCCAAAGCCCCATCGCTTGAAGTCGATTCCAGGTATCATCTCATCGGGTTTCTTCAGCTCAAACTCAAAATAAACCAACATGAGGAAAACAAACTGTTTCAGCTCATTGGTAGCAAAGAAACGCCCAGGACACATGGAGACCCCCGCACCCCAGGGCATGTTGTAGTACTTCACCTTCTTTCCTGCTTTGTAGAAATCAGTTTTCTTGGTCCCGTCTGGATTGAGAAAGCGGTCATATTGGAATGCATGTGGGTCAGGGTGGATCTCTGGGTCAATGTGAACGGCACTGTAAGGAAAGGCTGCCATTCTGTCCCCCTTTCGTAGGAAGTATTCACGCCCATCAGCCATCTTGAGGGTCATATCCTGAAGCACTGCTCTGGTGAGGACAGGTGCAGCAGTGAGTCGGAGGGTCTCTTCTACAGCACTGTCCAGGACTGGTGTTTTCATCAGCATTTCACGGGT